GCGCCCATGCCCCGCGGCGCGCAGCCCGCCCGGCCTCGGCGCCCCCGGGCAGCCCCGCGCTGCGCCCAGCCGGTCCGGCCGGGTGCCGCCGGTAGTGCGGCCGTGGGTCTGTCGCCTCCCGCCCGGCCCCTCGCCGGCGCCCCGAGCCTGGAGGCCGCGCTGCGCCAGCCACGTGACGCGCCCGCCGAGCCGCAGTGGCGCTGGCAGGGCGGGCGGAGGCGGCTGGGGCGGGCCGGGGGGCGCACGCCCCGCCTCGGGGTGCTGGACAGCTCCGCGCTCGCCGCCCCAGCCCAGCCCCGCGCCCCTGGCCCCGGAGCCTGGCGCTCAAGGTGGGCAGCGCGCCCGGGGGCCGGATCAGCGCTCGCCTGGCCTCCTCCTGGTCCCACGTACTGGTCCCTCCTGTGCTAGGGAGGGGAGGAGGAGGAGGGAGGATTGGCAGATGGTGGCAGGAAAAGGCCTGCTTGGGGGACCTGAGGGCAGGACAGTGCATGGTGGTGGAGGGCTAAGGCCTATCTTCCTTCCAAGGTGTCCCTGCTCCTGCCCTGCCGCCCCCTCGTTTGCCACAGTCCAGGTGCTCGTGTCACATCTCTAAGAGGAAGCCCCTGTGCAGAGCAAGGCCCTCGAGGGGATATTTGGGAACACCCTGAAAGGCCCCTGGAGACCCAGCCCTCCCAGGGATCCCTGAGCCCACCAGTCTCCTCGCAGGCACTGGGAATGGGGAGGAGGCCTGCTTTCGCGCTTGGGGTGGCCACCGCAACCAAGCGATTGAGTCCAAAAGAGGCAGAAGCCAGAAGAGACGGGGGAAGGTTTGAGGCCACTTAGGGTCAAGCAGGGTCAACCCTCCATCCTTAAGACAGGTGTGAAATCAGAGGTCCCCAAAGATGCCATGGCATGAGGGGCTCGCCAGCCTGAGCTGAGGCTCAGGACCCCTCTCCATCATCCCAACCCAATTGGATACTCTCCATTTATGGGGAGAAGGTCGGGGGAGAAACTGAGGCTCAATTAGTGGAAGTGTAGACAGAGTAACTCACTAACTGACTTTTACTGTGCAGTCTGATTGGATCTTAATTTAAAAATTGGGGAAAAAATCCTTTTAGTTTTTCTGGGTTTTCTTATTCTCTCTCTTCTGTAATTCCTTTGGTGATTTTTTCCAAAGCAGACTTCTTAGGAGATGTATTCAAAGATTTAAAAATCAAATACAATCAATTACTGATTTACGGTATAGAGCGCTAGCCTACATGTGGCTTGACATCAGAATTTCCTCAGACCGTTGACTGCCCGTGAACAGGCATTTATCTACACGCGGCAGAATGTTCCACAGAGGCAGGGACAGGGGCCGGGAGGATCTGCAGCTCTGTTCCACTTGAGGATGCTGCCTCCTTCCATGGGTGCTTTAGGGGTTATGCAAAGAATCAAGGGTGAAGACCAAAGCCTTAGGGAGTCACGTTGAGGCATGAAGCGAAAGAAAAATGTGAGCCCCTATAAACACTTGCCAAAATATGCTCCTATATTTTGAACCAAATGGGGAAGGTTAATAAAAGCTTTGCAATCACAAAACATGTGTGTATATGAAGCTCCATGTTCTCCAATCTGTGCGTAGACCATCATAAACCCAAACAGCAGTGGGTGGCCGGGATACCCGGGAACCTCGCGCTGATTGGAAATAACTGTTCTCATTGCAGAAAAAAGAAAATGATGCATTAACACCTGCTTCATCTTGGTTACTGAGTTTTTTGGTAGTCCCTTAAATTTTGTGCCCAAGGTAAATGCCTCACTCCCCTACCCTGACACCCCATTTAGTTTAGTCGTGTGGTGGTCTAGTGCCCTCTAGAGGCTGCTGCCCCAGGTGGGGGCCTTGCTGTGGGTCCCCAGGGCAACCCTGGCCCAGTCTTCTCCCCCACTGCCTTCTAGCCATTTCTGGAAAGGTCCCTGGTAGTCCTGTATCTGCTACAGCATTCTACCCCCCCGACTGCAGCCACCGAGGTCCCTTCACCTCTGCAACCTTTTAACAAACATCGCCCATCCGGGAAGCTTCTAACCACGGCAAACGAAAAATTTCCAACTAGTGGAGAATTTAGTATTGGGAAGGAGGCGATTTGAGTAGTAGACGTGGAATATGGAACTGGCTGCGGCAGGCGAGGGAGCAGCGGTGGGACAGGGGGACGTGAGCACCCCTAGCAACGAGGTCGTGGACAGGCAGTAAGTAGAATGATGGTTGGAGGAGGAGGGACAAGCGGGGAGTCGTTCAGTGGGTAAGGAGTCTCAGTTAGAGGAGACTGAAAGCCTTCTGGAGATGGATGGTGGTGATGTTTGCACAGCCATGTGAATATATTTGATGCCACTAAACTGTGCACTTAAAGATGATTAAAATGGTAAATTTCATGTTACATGTCTTTTACCACGACAAAAAAAAAAATAAAAATGTAAACTAAATTTAAAATACTAAAACTAAACTGGCAAAATGTATGGTTATAAGATGCCCCCCCGAGCTCTATGGGGTGGGGCAGCCAGCCTGGGTGCTGCTTTGGGTTTAGTGTGGCTTCCTAAGCGTAGGTCAGCTGGGTGCAGACGGCCAGGCTCGGAGTTGAGTGCCTCTCCCCTGGGAGAGTGCCCAGCACACCCCGCCACGGTAGCCATCCGCCCCGCCGCGTCTGGAGGCACGTCCGTGACAATGGGTGCGGTGTGGCCAAGCGCATTTAGCCATAGACACCCTCCAAGCCATAGCTGGTCCTTACAGCTTAATAAGCCAGTGGCAATAAAATCATTTCACCTTCAGAACTGAACGGTAATTTTAAAATTACAGGCCTGGAACAGTGACAGTAAGTATGTCATAAAAGCACCATTCCCCCAAAAAGGGCTTTTATTGCAATAAAAATGTTAGCAGCAGGTCACCACTTGGTTTGCATAACCCTCTCTGTGGGAACCCGGAGTGGTGAGTGCAGCTCCCATTTTCAACCAGAAAGCTCCCCTTGGCCTTGCTGAAGCACTCAGAGGCGCCCTGAAACGATAATCGTTTGTG